AACTCAACAGATGTTCACCCGCACACTATATTGAAAATCTACGAAGAGTACATGTGTTTCGGTGGTAGCATCGTCAGCAGTAGCATTACAAACTTCCGCCTGGTTCGATAGGACCACTGATATCAATGAGCAACACCTCTGCTGTTAACTCTCTCATCAGGAACTCACCCCCTCACACCGCCACAACCCAACAGATAGATGACTGCCTGGTAGCCCTCAGCCCAAACGATTTCAGGCGAGCTCGTACTTTGCAAAATTGCCTTCAGCAAAGCGGCGAATATTCCCACCAAAATTGACTAACGCGAAGCAGCCACTTTATCGACGGAAAATAAGCTGTCCATATCCAACCACCGTTTTCCGGGCATCCCTGGCGCCGCCTTCTCCTGCTCTCGATCATGATAGCTTCCACCATCTAATCTCACAACCCGCTGAACTTCCGTTCGCCATTTCCCTGTCTGTTGCTGCCAAAATGAGCCACGTTGTTAACCTTAGCGATTCTCGTGCCGAACTGTATAGCCCTTTTCCTGAATCCAGCCAATTCCCCCAACGCTCCCCCCGCGATTAATCTCAACGCACCACGCAACAACGGTTTCGTCTCCACATTACTATCACATAGTCGGTGGCGGCCGATCCAGTTGAGGAGGTCCTCATCCAGATAGGGGTGCCGGGGCTCTCGAGCATGATCATTCATAACTCGATCGTCCCTCCCGAGGTTCCGTCGCCAAAGCCGATGCAGATCTCTGAGCATCTCTCGCCTCCTCCCATCGAGGCCTCCTCTGAGTTCACTGGTCCGATACCGAGCATAGCCACCCAGGACCTCGTCCGCACCATGGCCGACCAACAAGACTCGAGCCTCCGATCGAACCGACGCTCCTCCTCCGTTAGGAGCAGCACCGGTGAGGACGAGCGGTAGTGCAACGCGATCAACTTCGCCATTCCGAAGTAGCTCTCCTGTCTTGTGCGTGCGGCAATAAGGCGAAGCTCCCTCGTCAGCCCTCCTACGACAACAGAATTTGCACATTCCTCGAATGCAGCTCTCCTTAGCCACCCTAGAGCAACCATCACTCGAACACTTCTTCCTCACCGGCTCCGAATGGACAGTCATCCTTCTACACTCCGCTGACGCCTCATCTTCTTCGCTCAACACCGCCCGACAGAACTCGTCATTTCCGCATTGCTCGGGCTCAACGACCACCCCCTCCCCCCGAGCTGCCGTCCATAACGCTGCTGATATGTTCACGTCCATATGCGTTACTTCAGGGCTGCTTAGACCCATCACGCGATCATACATACCCTTATCGTTAGCGTCAATTCCACACAAGATCAGCCGCACTCTGGCACGTCCGTAGACCTCCGCCAGGCGCCGATAGCTGACCAAAGCTGTCCTCAGGTCTGGCGAGTCCTCTCCATCAACACTAGCAGTAAGGAGGTCAACTTGCCTGTCCGACTCCTCTAGGGCGAGCGCTGCGAGAGTCGTCGAATCGACACCTCCCGAAAACAGGATACCAATAGGTCCAGGATGGTCCAACATGCGGACACGCCGAGCCACCGCTCGCCGTAAAACTACCAGAAACTCTTCTGGC